CCTGGACTTCCAGAGGGGTAAGTAGGACTTGGGGGCTCAGAGCCCGCTGAGGGTCCTCAGGACACAGGGCTGAGGGGTCTCCCATGTCCTGGCGCCTCTGCGTCTCCCACTTCTCATTCACTGCACGGGGACTTGGGCCAGGTGTCAGGCTGGGGATGAAGGACCAGGGATCCAGGATGTGTCCCTGTCCACTCACCCCGCCCTCACTCTGTCTTTCCTCAAGTTCTGGGTCCTGGACCCAGTCTGTGCTGACTTGACTGTCCGCAGCTCCCGGTGTGGGGGCAGCGGCCCCATTTCCGTCCCTAGAAGCAGTAGAAATGCCGGGTCTAGCTTTATTGTATCCTATTTCATTTTTTTCTGGTACCAACATGTCCCAGGCTGTGGTGACTCAAAAACACGTTTGTCAACATCTCCCTGTGCAGCAGCAGCTGGCCGGGCTCTGAAGGCCCACTTGGGTGGAGGCAGTGGGGTCAGTGAGGCCAACCCTGCACCCCAGCCAGCACCAACCAGGCTGGGCAGGGCAGTGCGGGCGGGAGCTGTCACCTCCTCTGCCCGCCCGACTCAGGAGGGCCCATGGCAGACCTGGACCTCCACCCCCATCCCCGGCAATGACAAGCATGGCATGGGACCAGGCACGGCTAGTCAGCACCCCAGCACCCACCCTGACTCCTGACGTGGGGTCCTGACAGCCAGGAGGGCGGAGCTGTGACCCACCTGGTGACGAGAACACTGGACAGAGGGAGCGAGTCGGGTCACTGGCGTCCAGCTGTCCCCTCCCGCCTGGCGTCAGTAGGCACCACAGAGTCCCGTGTCGGCGGACCTCCCACCGTCTGAAGGGGACGAGTCTGTGCAAGCCACTGCTCCCCTTCCCGAGCACGGCGGGCAGCCCTGGGGCAGCGAGGGTCAGGGCCCCGCTCTGCTGCGCAGTGGGAAGCGGAGCCGCCACCCCCGGCCCTCTCTCTCTCTAGAAATAAGAAAAATTAGCCCTTTCCAGCTGACATCTGGGTCGGAGCCCGAGGACCAGCCCAGGAGGTCGCTGGGCCCTCACTGCTCGTGGCAGAATCTGTGGGGAAACTTTAGCCATTATGCCCCGTTGTGAGAGGCTCAGCCCTTCCATGGAGCTCGGATCACTTGGAGGACGTCAGCACCACGGCTAATAGGACATTCTGCGTCTTGTCACCTCTGTGTGGACAGCTGTTCCATCCTCAGGACACAGAATCTTCCAGTGGAATCAAGTGTGTTGATACTTATGACTCTTGCATGATACAGTTGATTGACCTACACTATTTAGTCTGTCTGTGATCCAAACATGATTGGGAGTGTCAGATACGTGTCCTGCAGGTACGGCGGGCACACTCAAAATCAGGTAATTATACAAAAATTCAATAAAGACGGACATTACGAAGGTGTGAGCAGAGTGTGTGGAAAGCCTAATTGAGAGTAGAAACCATGACATGCCACCGAGCGGTCACTGTGTCCCTGCAGGGGGTGGTGACTCAGAGGGTTGGGGTGCAGAAGGCCGCTCGTGGATCCCTGCCGTCCATGGTGACCCCACACGAGGGCCCCTGGGGAGCAAACGCTCCAGCGCACCCCACTACCTTTCCCAGGTGGGCAAAGGGCCAGAAGCAGGTTCATCTGCCAGGAGGGCTCAGCTGTGCAGTGCACATGCGCAGAGCGTGCGAGGCTGTGGCCAGCAGGGGGCGCTGCGGGTCTGATGTGAGAGAGTGGGGGGAGCCCATTAGGTCCTCACTGGACAAATGGCTGAGCCTCCTCTTGTGGGACTGGGTGTGATGACCCCACACATGTGTGACTCTCCTGCAGGGGGGAGAGCTCTAGCCACGGAGACACTGGGTGTAGGGGCTTCCTTCAGCCCATGGGTGACTCAGGCCATCTCTTCCTTCTCCACTCAAACCGGTCCTCTGTCCAGGCCAGAGTCCCACCAGGGGTTGGAGAGGAGCATGGCAGGGTCACACTTGCATGAGGTGACTCCACCGATCAAGAAGGACAGGACAGACTCAGGTGTCCCCTGTCGACAGTGTGGAGCCCAGCAGGCAGTGCTGGGTGTCCCCACAGGGCTCCATGGACACTCGCATGTCGTATACACTCACAGGACAACACTGTGAGTTGTGCAAGGGCAGCTCACAGGCAGGTCCCTGTCCCCACTACCAGTGAGGTGACCCCCTCCCCACCCCTGCCCTGGAGGGATCCTGAGATGCCACCTGCTCCCACTGTGGAGACCTGAGCAGCAACAGCAGCGTAAGTCAGCACAGGCAGGTCCCTGCCCAGAGTGACCAGAGCACCAGGGAGGACAGGGGGGCCCAGGGGTGCTTTGATGGGAAGAGGATGATTGGTTGTCCTGGGAGGATGGAGGGTGTGGGACTGTCCCCCACTGGAAGGCACAGTGCAGGTGACAGATGGCAGCATGTGAGCCCACAGGCCACACTGAGCTGATATGGGACTGTGCTGTCACTGGTGGATCTTCCCACAGGTTTTCTGTGCCTGTAGCCGCCTCACACCCGCCATCATCCCATCCCTTCTGCAGGTCCCTGTGGCCCCTGGAGGGCAGGACTCTGTGTGCAGACCCCATGGTGGTTCCTCTCTGCCACGGGTGCTCCTCCCTCCCCTGCTCCTCCCCATGTTGCCTCTCCTGCCTCCCCATTCACCCCCAAACCTCTGAGCGCTTGTCCCTCAGGGTCATTCACCGACTCCTCCCAGCCCTTACAGACTGTCACTCTCAGGCACAAGAGGAGCGTCCTGACTTCCCCTGGGGCCTGGCGAGGAGCCGCTGTCCTTGGTCAGGGTCCCCAGGCACAGCCCTGCCAGGACCACATCCCTCCACGCCCCTCTGAACGCACCTCCTCCCCTTTCCTGCCTTTGCTTCTCCCCTCATGGCAGCCTCAGCGCCACACGGACTGTGTCCGGGACGGAAGGCGGAGGCTGGCTCTCCTCCGTGGAGCAGACACGGGCTGGACGTCCCCGCACACAGAGAAGGAGCCTCCCACGGGAACCGCTGTCATGGGGGATACCAAGTGTCTCCCAAGTGTCCTTATTTCTCTCCTCCCTCATCCAGGGAGGTTGGAGGGCGGCAGGCACACATGTGACCCATGGCCACCCTCACACCCGAGCGTTCACCTACATGCCCCATTTCCTTGAGCATAAAATCGCTCTGGAATAAATCCATGCACTTTTGTCTTTGCATATGTCCTCACTCATGTGTACAGCATATAGTATTCCAGACATTAACCCGTGATTTCAATATCCTTCCTTTATTTGCCATCCTACACACCTTTGGATCCTGTGACGCTGTCAGAAGGCTAATACTCAATGATTTCCACAAATATGTAAAACATAATTGAAAACAATTTACTAAAGGAGCAGGACAATCAATACAATAAAATTATAACTATATTGGAGTAGACCCATAGATACTAATTTATGGGAAGACATCTCAGACTAAACTTGTAGATATTAAATTTGGGGAACTCATGACAAAATCCAGGTGTAAATTGCCTTTAAAATCATGAACAGGTGATGTTGAATTGAGTCTCTCTTCCCAATTTCCCATAATCCCACTGTGTAAGGTGCATAAAAAGTTTAGGAAATTTATCTTTTTTATGTCCTCGACTTTGTCAATGAAAGCTGAACCAGCATCCAGTACAGGGTGGATGTCTGGGTGACATCATAGGTTGGGGGACCTGCCCAGTGACCCCGCTGAGGGCCCTGAGAGGGCGGGGAGGCTGACGGGCCCCAGGGCGGATCCCCGAGAGGCGGCGCGGGCCCCAGGTCCCCATCCGCGCCCCAGCAGGCCCCGGCGTGGGCGCAGCGCAGCGCCCGGGGGCTGCACGAGCGTCTGTTTCGCACGCGCCTGCACAACCTCTTTGTAAATAAACCACAGGTTTTTCCAAACACAACGAGCCTCGGCGTCTTTCTGTCCCCAGAGCGGGGGCGGCCCCTGAGGTCCCATCTCCGTCCTCCACTCCCGTGCACACGGCGCACGCGGGGACAGCACGCCCAGCTGGACCGCACAGCTCCGCCGTCACACGTCACCTGCCCCACTGCCTGCCGCCCACTTGTCCCAACTGGGAAAGCAAACGTTCGTCCCAGGACCCCAGACAGGCCCTGCATACTGTGTCCCAGGACGGCAGCGGGGACCCCGCCGACCCGCACCCAGAGCGCCACATTACCGGGATCCTGACCCGCCCCCACCCAGACAGCCCGTCGCCCGGCCGCGCGGACCCTCTCTCCAGACCTCTCCGCCGTCCGGGCCCCTGGCCTCCCTCTGCCTTGGTGGCCCTCGATGCTGAGGGCTCTGATGAAACTGTCCCCTGACGCGGGCCTGGGCCCTCCCCCTCAGGGTCCCTCTGCCGTCACCGTGTCTCTGGTGGAGAACCTGGTCCCTGATAGAGTGCTCCCTCTGTGTCAGTCCTCTCAGTCACGTGCTCCAGCCCCGGTCACGTGGTCCCCCTGGAGAAGGCCGAGCCTAAGCCCTGTCCTTCCACACTCAGCCCATTCTGCCTGCGACATCCACACCTCCAGTGACACAGAGTCAGAGTGTCTTCACCACAGTAGTGGCCCCGGGACCATCGGGACAGATTTGGCGGTTAACCGAGCAGGGAGCACAGGATGCTGAGCAGAGACCCTGGGACAGTGGCTGGAATTGAGAGGGGTGCGGGGCGGGGAGGGCAGGAGCCTGAGCACCTCCCCTTCCCAGGTGCTGTACCTCCCTCGTCCACCAGAGGGCGCGGTGGTCTCAGCACCTGCCCAGGCTCCCCAGGGCCTCAGCTGTGTCCCCTGCCCCACCTGCAGGTGTCCCTGTGCCCTCCGTGGGGTGACCCTCCCCTGCCACAGTGTCTGCATCTCTCAGCCACAGCTAGTGTGAAGGCTCAGGTGGGGCTGGTGCAGCTTCCAGGAAGAAGACATTTGCATGGAGACCTCCCACCCTGAGGGTCAGAATGACAGATAAGGGGAGTTGGTGGGCTCAGTCCTGGTTGTCAGCTCAGGAAGCAGAGCCTGGGGTGTCCCCACCATGGCCTGGGCCCCGCTCCTCCTCACCCTCCTTGCTCACTGCACAGGTGGCTGCCCGCAGGGAACTCTGGGAGGGCTCCCCGATGTCACCTGGAGTGAGGATCTCTCCCTCCTCTTTGGAAACAGGGTCTGATCTGTTCTCACTAACCTCTGTGTCGCTCTCTCTTTGCAGGGTCTTTGGCCAACTTTTTCCTGACTCAGCCCAGCTCTGTGTCGGGGTCTCCAGGGCAGAAGGTCACCCTCTCCTGCACCCGCAGCAGCGGCAACATTGGGAGCTACTATGTGAGCTGGTACCAGCAGCGCCCGGGCAGTGCCCCCACCACTGTGATCTACAGGGATGACAAAAGACCCTCCGGAGTCCCTGATCGGTTCTCTGGCTCCATCGACAGCTCCTCCAACTCTGCCTCCCTGACCATCTCGGGGCTGCAGTCTGAGGACGAGGCCGACTACTACTGTCAGTCTTATGATGGCAGCTACAGTCACACAGTGCTCCAGACCATGGGGAAGTGAGACAAAAACCCCCAGACATCCTCACCCTGGCGCTGCCCTCAGCCTGTCCCCACAGGGTGTCAGCTCTTGCCCTGTCCCTCCTGGATGCTTCAGTGTGAATAGGCCTCTCACAATTTGGCATGTTTTCCTTCAGTGTCTCCATTTCTTCTTCCATGTGCTGATGGCTTATCTTCTAACACATTTATAGTCCGTCATGTGTTAGATTTAGTTGAAAACAATGTGTCTGAAGGTAAAAACAGACATTCTGTGCTGGGAGCTGTCTTGCACAGTTTAAGATGTTTAGTAGCTTCTCTGGTCTCCAGTAACACTCGCCCTCATTTGTGACAACAAACCTGTCTCCAGACACTGCCAAATGTCCCCAGCCTGGAGGACAAGGTCAGCTCTGGTTGAAACCACTCAGTGACAGAGCCTGTCCTCACATGTCTGAAATCCCCTGACATTGCATCATGGTGCCACCATTCAGCCAGACATGGGACTAGATTGGTCTGATCTCTGTTGCGGTTTCCCTTTCATTAGACAAAACAGTGTCACAGAGCTCAAATGATTGTTTTCATGGTTGAATAGCATTTTAACCACAGTGAAGTCGGAGACTGTGTTACCTCATGGAGTAGAAACCAACCAGAGCCTGAGGCGGTGTTGAGCCAAGGCTGGGTGTGGACAGTCACTTCTGTCTCTGCACACGCACACAAGGCGCAGGGATCCTCCTTCCACACACGGTGACATCATCCAGCCAGAAATAGCTATGAAGTTCGGATACATGCTCCGTATGCGTGGACCTTGTAAAATATACTCATGAAAAGGACCACTCACCAAATCCACACACTGCAGGATGTATTTTTAAGAAATATCCATAACAGGTAAATTCTAGAGGTTGGCCTTCGCCTGTGCAGGGGTGAGGAGGTTCCCCCGATTTTCATTTCCTCTCTGAGAGCAGGCTGCCATCTCCTCGCAGCAGAGCTCGGGACTCAGCGTAGCTCAGCTCCCTGCACCACGTGAGAGGGTCCCCGCTGGCAGGACCAGCCACACGCGCCTCTGAGACACCCCGCAGAGCCAGTCTCCAACGCTCAGGAGCCCCTGGGACGCTTGGTCCATGAAGGGCCAGGTTCTGTCACCCCACGGGGTCTGACTCAGGTGAGACCATCACCCATCACTACAGTGTGATGTAGACACTGCCTAGGACCGTGCGGTGGGCAGGGTGCAGGGACGCATGTGACTGTGGGAAATTCTCCCTCTATGGGACTTGCAGATACAGAAATAAAATTAGAGGAGCACACTGTCCCTGCTGGAGTCTAGGGATGGGGACATCTTGAGCACCTGCTCCATGACTGGCCCCGCCCCCATGTGTCCTCCTCACTCTCTGCACAGGTGACAGCCCGCCGGCCCTGGCTGGAGACTCCACGGTGCCCCAACACCCCTCTTGCCCCACTCCCTTCACGGGGCTCATTGTCCTCTTTGTCCTGCAACTTCCAGTGTCTGTGGCCCAGGAGGGGCTGGCTGAGCCTCCCTCAGCGACCAGGTCCCCAGGACAGATGGTCATGGACATGTGCACTGGAAACAGCCAGATGCTGTCAGCCAGGGTGCAGCTCGGCTGCAGCAGCTTCTGGGACGTGTCCACAAACTCCTGGTCCTCAGGACAACTGTCCTCAGGGAACGCAGAGACTCCCTGGCTCCAGGTCAGGCTGGGTGGCCTCCCTGTCCATCCCTGGACTCCAGCCTGGGACAGTTCTGATCATCACTATTCAGCAGAGGACAGCAGCCTCGGTGAGGGCATTATGGGGGCCCATGGGGACATGGGGGGAGACACAACGCTGTGAGTGTCCAGGTGCCCATTCACTGCCCCAACGCGAGACCCAGAGGATCTGTGAGGAGGCCTGGCCTAGGAAGCTGGTGGGCGCTGTTGGGTGTTTGAAGAGCTCTTAACTGAAGTATCTCTTCTTAAGGAGGAACTACACACAAAACTCGGTGAATTTAGTTAATAAGATTTATATTACTTGTTTTAAAAATATTTATTGGTCATGAAACAAAAAAATTAAATGTATACATTGAATGATAGAGCAAAAGTCACATATTTGCAGCATTTTCTGTGAAGGGGTGAGCACCTTAACTTGTAATTGATACGTGTGCCTGCGCCTCTCCTCGTCCAAGATTCATTCTGAGAGTGAGGAACGACAGCAGGACTCAGAGTTTCAGAACTGCAACCACAGGAGGTGGGAGTCAGCCCATGGGAGTGTGACCAGAGACAGTGACAGGTGAGCTGCAGAGACCAGCTGGGCTCTCAGGTCTCTGGGCCATGGGGAGGTGTGTGCCTGTGACCAGCAGGGGGCGCTAGGGGACTGCCCTGTGGTCCCTACACAGCTGCTCAGGGAGGACCAGTCACTCCAAGGAGCTTTGGCTTCAGGTCTGTGCCCTGTGCTCACTGATGCTGACTCAGCAGCTGTGTCCTCTCTGGCCTGGCACAGTCCCCTGAGCAGGGCCCTTTGTGTGGTCCCAGCAGCTGCTTCCTCCCAGGGCTCCCCCAAGGGGCAAAGCAAAGGCCCCCCCTCCTCAGTGTGCAGTGAGAGCTGAGCTCCAGCCCAGGGCTCAGGGAGGGGCTGGGCAGTCCCTGGATGGAAACACGTTTGCATGAGCAGCCCCTCCTCTGCAGAGGGTGGGGACAAAAGGAGGCCTGGGCAGCACAGCCCCACTGTGGGGACCAGGGACTGTGTGCACCATGGCCTGGGCTCCTGTCTTGCTCATGCTCCTCTCTCACTGCACAGGTAGGGACAGGACTCAGAGACCCAGGGCGGCTTCTAGGTTCCTTTGGCTCTACTGGCAAAAATGTCTGAAAAATTTCACCCTGGTTCCTACCCCAGAATCCATGTGTCTGTGTTTGCAGGTTCCTTGTCCCAGCTTGTGGTGACCCAGCCGCCCTCCTTCTCTGCATCTCCTGGAGCATCAGCCAGACTCACCTGCACCCTGAGCAGTGGCTCTAGTGTTGGTAGTTACTGGATAAACTGGTACCAGCAGAAGCCAGGGAGCCCGCCCCGCTATCTCTTGAGCTACTACTCTGATTCAAACAAGCACCAGGGCTCCGGGGTCCCCAGCCGCTTCTCTGGCTCCAAAGACGCCTCGGCCAACGCAGGGATTCTGCACGTCTCTGGGCTGCAGCCTGAGGACGAGGCTGACTATTACTGTAGTACATGGGATGGCAGCTCTAGGAGTTACACAGTGATCCAGACACGTGGGGAAGTGAGACAAAAACCTCCCCTGCATCCCCCTGTCTAGATGAGTCACTAGTGCCTTGCTTGGGGCCACATCTTATTCTGCAAGTGACTTATTCTCACTTCTTCAGTCAACACCCAATTTTCTTAGGATCTGTGGATGCGAATATGTCTTTGTTTTTTCCATATTTACAATGTGAATTTGATTCTTTGCTAATATATTCTCAGTCTCATCACGTCTACAGTGACATCAGTCAGCTCTCAGAGCTCAGCCTGCCCCCAGGGGGATGACGGGTGCAGAAGGAGGTGGTGGCCCAGCCGTGCCCCCACCAGGGTCTAGGCCTGACTCACACGTGTGTGTGGGTGACAGCTTGTGGTGGGTCCCTGGGTCCAGCACCCCAAGCCCAGCTCCACTGCTGAGTTCCAAGGCTGAGGTCACATCCCTACCTGGGCCCACTCCAGCCCGAGCCTGGAGCTGGGCCTCCCTCCTGAGGCTCGGGAGAAGGAGGCTGTCGCAGCTGCAGGGGTGCTGGGGAAACCAAGTCCTCAGCACAGTAGCTGCGCCTGTGTGTGTGACCTCGCAGTGTGCACAGGACAGCTGGCGCCAGGCGTCCTCGCCCCAAGGCAGGTGCCACAGTAGCCACCGCTCATGCATGCCAAGGCCTTTGCTGCTCATGCTGAGACTCAGTGAGGCTGGGTCAGTCAGGAATGAGGGATGCCCCAGAAGGAAGAAAATTTATTCCACAAGGCACTGGAGAAGAATCGGACTTTCGTAGGGGAGCTGCTTCCCCGCTCTTGGGTTCAGGGACCTGACTCTGAGGACAACCTGCCTGGCCTGTCTGGTCCTCACCGTCCTGTCCTCACAGGGCACTGACTGAATGGGCCCATGAAAGGGCTTTGGCACCGGCTCAGCAGGAGCACCTTCCTGTCCCTCTTCTTATCCCCCCAGGATGATGCGGGGCCTTTGAACCAGCTTGAAAAATGGCTCACGTAAGAGAAGCAATTGGTGACACCAAGCTCCCTCTTGGGGTTGCCTGGCCGAGCATCCCTGGACCGCGTCTGCTCCTCCCCGATGTCTTTGTCCATCTTGGATGCTATTAATCCAACAAATATTCCTACAAACCAGGTAGCTTACAAAACACGGAAATCATTTCTAAAAATTTTCCAGCCTGGTTATTCTAAAGTCAAATATTTTGCAGATTTGGTGGCTGGTGGGGGCCTGACCTCTGTTTCACAGCGGCGCCTTCTTCCTCTGTCCCCCCATGATCCAAGGGACAAAGATGCTCTTTGGAGCCTCTTTTGCAAGAATGCCAATTGCATCCCTGATGGCTCTGCCCCCCAACGTGTGCCAGCTCCTGATGCCATCACCCCTGGGCTGAGGAAATGTGAAAGACACAAATATTCAGGTCACAGCAACCAATGACCCCACTGCCCTGTGTTCTCCCGGGGCGGGAGCGCGGGTTCCAGTCTGGCCTCGCGTCTCCCTGAGCAGCCGGAGACTCTCCTTCCCTCCCCCCTGCTTGCCTGCAGCCCCACCCCCCACTCCACTTAGGAAAATTCAGTAAAAGAATTTGGGGAGGGGCACATTTATCTTGGAGCCCTCGCTTTGGTCCCCAGCTTGAATGTATTGTGAGGAACGGACAGATTTGGGGTCACTACGTTCCTTGATCCTGAGACAAGGGACCAGAAAACGATGAGATTTTCCACCGGGGCTGAAACAGGTCTTCAGAATCATGTCCCACAAAGTCCACTTGTGGATGGTAAAGTAATTTTTCTCCACAGAAAATGAGGCAGCTGCTG